GCTTTAGCTCATTCTAGCACAACACGTAGACAATATCAATTTCATTATGTTTATTAGTGACTATACTCTATATGACCAAATTGCTGTAGCGGTATACTTATCCAAACTTCTCACCACTACAGATATCAGTATTAGAACTCACCACATAATACAGGATATAAACAACCACTATTTAAACCTAAAAGATGAATGATCACGTTGACCCTGATCTAAACCTCCATAATCTGACACCCAATCAAAACCTATTGGAAAGTAACTGCCTTTATTACACAGCATCACAAGCCACCACTATCCTAAACAATGCTAAAAGTCTATCAGTACTTAACTACAACATCAGGTCCTTAAGCAAACACTATGATGACCTCCTAGCACTCCTTGAATCACTAAAGACACCCTTCTCCTGCATTATTCTTACTGAGACCTGGCTTAAGCAGGACACAATAGATATCTACCCTCTACCAGGATACACAGCAATTCACAACTGCAGAACAAACCAAGTTGGGGGTGGTATTGCAATCTATTACTCTAACCAATTATCTTGTCTTAGCACACTTGCTTTAGTGATGAATATGGGGAATACATCTTTGCTAATTTTACTGTAAAAAACCTTAAGACGCCTATAACAATCGGTGCCATTTACCGGATACCTCACACAAACATCCCAAATTTCAGTGAGAAATTAAAGTCACTAATAACAAACAGACAAATGAATAAGCACCACCTTCTCTTAGCTGGAGACTTCAACATCAACCTTGGCTTACTAGATGATCAGCCTGTAAACTGATTTCATCAACAATATGAACAACACACTTCTCATACCAACAATAACTAAACCAACCAGGCTCACTGAGACAAGTGCAACCATAATAGACCACATATGGACCAATATACTAGCCCCATTAAATCAGGGATAATCACAGATAGCACTACAGACCACTACCCTACCTTCCTCCTGACAAACATTAGTAAACCACCATTTGAATACAGCAAAGTCTCATTTAGACTCCATGACGAGGCCTCAGTAAGGAAGTTCACAGCTGACCTAGAGACTGTTGATTGGCCTACAGAATTCTCCAAGGCCAATGGTATTGATGACTGGACAGACATTTTTCTTAACAAATTACTTAGACTATACAACAAACATTGTCCTATAAAAACAAAACAGATCACAAACAAACAGCTTGGTTGCCCATGGCTAACCAGCACCATTCTGAAATCCATTGACAAGAAACACCAATATGAAAAGCAATATAGACAGGGCTTAATACACAAAGATATTCTTAAACACTATTCATCAGCTCTCACCAAAGTAATAAAGAAAGCCAAACAACTATACTACTCCAGTAGATTCACAGACACTAGAGGAGATATACAAAAGACCTGGAAAACACTCTCTCAGATTCTAGGGACCCACAAACTGAGGAAAACCAAGAATATTGTCCTAACTAAACCTAATGAAACACCACTACATCCCACTGACACAGCTAACAAGATAAACGACTTCTTCTCAACCATAGGATCTAATCTCGCCAGTAAAATCCCACATACCAATGCCCATGCTGGGGACTACCTAGATGGGAATTTCCCTAATTCCTTCTATCTTGCACCAACTGAGCCCACGGAAGTCACTGAGATTATAAAGTCACTTAAAAATAACTCAGGGAATCTGTCTCATGTCCCACCATTACTGTACAAGCGAGCGGCCCATGTCCTTTCGCATGCTATTTCATTAATTTTTAACAAGTCACTAGAGACTAGCACCTTCCCGAAACTACTCAAGATGGCAAGGGTTACACCAATACATAAAGGTGGTGACCCTACAGACTTAAACAGCTATAGGCCAATATCTAACTTACCATTGCTATCCAAAATCTTTGAGAAACTCGTGCACAGGAGACTGTATTCATTTATAACGGCTCAAAACATACTCAACCCCTGCCAATTTGGATTCAGGAAAAATAAAAGCACTAATGATGCAATCATAAAAACGTTAGATCTGCTTTACACAGCATTGGAAAATAAGGAATATCCACTAGGAATTTGTATTGACCTAAGAAAAGCTTTAGACACAGTAGACCACGACATCATACTCCACAAACTTGATCATTACGGTATAAGAGGCCATGCGCTTGCTTATTTCAAATCTTACATTACTAATAGGTATCAGTATGTCACCATTAAAGACACAGCATCAGCAACACGGCCTATTGATACTGGAGTTCCGCAGGGAAGTGTCCTTGGTCCCCTGCTCTTCCTCATATACATCAATGACCTTCCAAACGTATCCCAACACCTGAAACCCATTCTCTTTGCTGATGACACGACTTATGTCATCTCTCACCCTAATCTTGTCACCCTCAACACCATTGTGAATGAGGAGCTGATTAAAATATCGACTTGGATGACAGCCAATAAACTTACGCTTAACACTGACAAAACCTACTATATTATGTTTGGTAGCAGAGCAGGAGATGCACAAATTAACATTAAGATTGACAACACTCTAATTACCAGAAATAATGAGGACAAATTCCTAGGCTTGTACCTTGACAACAACCTGAATTTCAGCACCCATATCCAGCATATAACCAAAAAAGTATCCAAAACGGTTGGGATCCTCTCCAAGATACGATACTACGTGCCGCAAAATGCCCTTCTCACTATATACCAATCACTTATTTATCCATACCTCACCTATGCTATATGTGCTTGGGGATCAACTGCAGCAACACACCTAAAGCCAATAATAACCCAACAAAAAGCTGCAATAGGAATAATCACTAAATCCCATCCCTGGCAACACACCCCCCCACTCTTCATAGACCTAAACTTACTCCCAGTTCAGTACATCCACACTTACTACTGTGCAATCTACATCTACAGGGCCTTAAACTCTAATATCAACCTTGACCTAAAACGCTTTCTTGATAGTTGTGACAGAACCCACAGGCATAACACCAGACACAAACATCTCTACGACATTCCCCGTGTCCGACTAAACCTTTACAAAAATTCAATGTATGTCAAAGGCCCTAGAATCTGGAATACCCTACCTGAGAACTCTAGAACTGCAGACACATTCATCACCTTCAAAACTACCATTAGAAAACATCTTATCTCCCTGATACACCCCGTCAACTAACTACACGAATACCACCTGGTGGTTCACACTTACACTCACTCACTCATTTGACCATAAACAGAAATATTAATCTCAATCTTAAAATAATGAATCCTGTGATACTCCAATACTGAAACTATGTACTGTGCCAAAACAAAAGCATTCACATTGCTAAACTCACAAACTAGTATTTAGTCACTTAGCCATAATACCAACTTACCTCATAATTTGTAATATTTTACAATTAAGAATAAAACTAAGTCTGCCCGAAATGCCTAGCCATGCTAAGCGTTCTAGTGGTACACTCTGTAATCACAATTTTACTACATGTAAACCACACAATAACCAAATTTCTGTAAACTCAGCATTGTAATCCTTATAGAGAATAAACTTTGAATTTGAATTTGAATTTGAACTACAGGACCGCTATGGCGAGGTCCTGGACGCTCTAGAAGACAAACAAAACGCAGATGCAGTACTCAGACTTTGTAAAAGCCTTTGACTAATGTGACTATGGTGTAGTAGCTCACAAAATGCGTGATAACAGGAAAAGTTGGTAGATGGATCTATAATTTCCTAACAAATAGAGCACAAAGAGTAGTAGTAAACAGTACAGTATGAGGCAGGTAAGCTGAAAAGATCTGTTCCACAAGGCACAATACTCGCTTCCATCCTGTTCCTCATCCTTATATCTGACACAGACAGGGATGTAAGCCACGGCACCATATCTTCCTTTTCAGATGACATCCGAATTTGCATGAGAGTGTCCTCCATTGAAGACACTGCAAGACTTCAGGCTGACATCAACCAAATCTTCAAATGGGCCTCAGAAAACAATATGAAGCCCAATGATCATAAATTTCAATTACTCCGATATGGAAAACGTGATGAAATTAAAACTATAACAGAATAAAACAATTCCATCCACACAATAAAACGATAAACTAATGTCAAAGACCTAGGAGTGATAATGTCAGAGGATCTCATCTTAAAAAACCACAACATTGTATCAATCACATCTGCTAGAAAAAAGACAGGATGGATAATGAGAACCTTCTTAACTAGAGATGCCAAGCCCATGATGACACCCTTCAAGTCACTTGTTCTATCTAGGCTGGAATATTGCTGCACACTAACAACACCTTTCAAGCTAGGTGAAATTGCTGACCTAGAAAATGTACAGAGAACCTTCACAACAGACATAACTGCAATAAAACACCTCTATTACTAGGAATGTTTGAAGTTCCTCAACCTGTACTTCCAAGATGCAGGCGGGAGAGATATATGATTATATACACATGGAAAATCCTAGAGGGATTAGTACCAAACTTAATTAAGAAAATTACTCCCTATGAAAACAAAAGACTCGGCAGATGATGCAACATTTCCCCAATGAAAATCAGGGGCTCCACTAGCCAAGATTGTTCAACTGCCTCCCAGCACACATAAGGGGATAACCAATAGACCCCTGGCTGTCTTCAAGAAGGCACTGGACAGGTGCCAAAAGTCAGTACCTGACCAACTGGGCTGTGGTTCGTACGTCGGGTTTTGTGCAACCAACAGTAACAGCCTGGTTGTTCCGGCCTTGATCCACCATGATGTCTGGTCACATACCGGGCCGTGAAACCTTCTCCAGGTATACTTCAGGTATCAGATTATAGGAGACATCAGGGTGGGTGTTAGTGGCGTTCAGGTGTTTTGTGAGGGAGTAGAAATCCTGGCTATACCGGCATTTAAACCTGGGGTCCACCTCATCGAAAATGACAATTTAATGTTCCCGTATCTCTTTCCGAAGGAAACTTTCTTATATTAATCATTCCCGCCCAGATTTGGTCAATATATTTATCAGTGTCTCCTGGGTGGTAGATCTCAGTAAGGCGCCAGAATGGTAACCCTTAACAACAACAACAACAACAACACAGTCGATATTTCAGTCACTTGTTGAGATTTTCTTCCATTTTAGTGTTTCCTTCATCATAGATCAAGGTAACTATTATATTATTTTCTTCTGGTTGTTTAAGGAACATATTTGTGCCATAAGATTATCAATAATGCACAAAATACTTATTAATTGATCAATTAGACAGCAAAACTGTAGCAGGTGATGCTCTGTCTTGGCAGCGTCCTCAGTATGTACCTTTATTTAAGTACAGTGACACATAATTACAGTTACATAAATTATGATACATAGTAACTTATGTGTTAATTACCCAGAATGACCCAAAAACAAGTCAAAATGACTTATTTCCATTGATCACTGAGTGTCCAGGAACAGGTGAAACTACACCTGTTGCTGCTCACCTAGCAGTAAGTAGGTACCTGGGTGTTTGTCACCTTACACCTGCCATCATTGTTCACCTAGCAGTAAGTAGGTACCTGGGTGTTAGTCACCTTACACCTGCTGTCACTTCATGTAGCAGTAAGTAGGTACCTGGGTGTTAGTCACCTTACACTTGCCATCAGTGTTCACCTAGCAGTAAGTAGGTACCTGGGTGTTAGTCACCTTATACCTGCTGTCACTGTTCACTTAGCAGTAACTAGGTACCTGGATGTTAGTCATCTTACACCTGTTGCTGCTGCTCACCTAGTATTAAGTAGGTACCTGAGTGTTAGTCATCTTACACCTGTTGCTGCTGCTCACCTAGCAGTAAGTAGGTACTTGGGTGTTAGTTATCTTACACCTGCTGCTGCTTACCTAGCAGTAAGTAAGGACCTGGATTTTAGTCACCTTGCACCTGCTGCTTCTTCTCACTAGCAGTAATTAGGTACCTATGTGTTAGTCACCTTACACCTGCTGCTCCTGCTCACCTAGCAGTAAATAGGTACCTGAGTGTTTGTCACCCTATACCTGCTACTTCTGCTCACCTAGCAGCAAGCAGGTGCCAAGGTGTTGGTAGCCTGTTGTGGGTGGCATCCTGGGGAAGAAGATTAAAGGACTACAGTGGAAATAAGATAGACAGTTCCACAAGGCACAGTACTCACTCCCATTCTATTCCTCATCTTCATATCTGACATAGAGAGAGATATAAGCCATAGCTCCGTGTCTTCCTTTGTGGATGACACCCAGATTACCATGGCAGTGACCTCCATCAAAGACAACCGTGAGACTCCAAGCGTACATCAACCAAATCTTTGAATGAGTCAGTCGAAACAATGTGAAGTTCAGCGAGGAGAAATGTCAACTACTCAGATATGGGAAACTTGCAGAAATTAAAAATGTGTCAGGGTATATGACAAATTCTAACCATACAGTAGTGCGAAAAGTAATGTGAAGGACTTGGGAGTGACAATGTCAGAGGATCTCGCCTTCAGAGACCACAACAATGTATCTACTCATCAGCTAGGAAAATAATAGGATGGATAATGAGAACCTTCAAAAGTAGGGATGCCAAACCCATAATGATTCTCTTCAAATTGCTTGTGCTCTCTAGGCTGGAATACTGCTGTACACTAACGGCCCCCTGTCAGACCTGGAGAGTGTACAAAGAACTTTCACGGTACACATAAGTACGATAAGGCACCTAAACTATTGGGAACGGTTGAAGGTCCTTGATCTGTATTCCCTTGAACACAGGTGAGAGAGATACATGATAATATACACTTGGAAGGTCCTGGAGGGATTGGTACCAAACCTGCACACGAAAATCACTCCCTATGAAAGCAAAAGACTCGGCAGAAGATGCAACATTCCCTTGATGAAAAGCAGGGGTGCCACGAGTACACTGAGAGGCAACACAATAAGTGTCTGGGGCCCAAGACTGTTCAACTGCCTCCCAGCATACATAAGAGGGATTACCAATAGACCTCTGGCTGTCTTCAAGAAGGCACTGGACAGGCACTTAAAGTCAGTACCTGACCAGCCGGGCTGTGGTTCGTACGTCAGCTTGCGTGTGGCCAGCAGTAACAGCCTGGTTGATCAGACCCTGATCCACTATGAGGCCTGGTCTCAGATCGGGCTGCAGGGGCATTGACCCCCAAAACCCTCTCCAGGTAAACTCCAGGTAAACCTCTCTTGGGTGGCTAACCTTCCACTCCTCTTGGGTGGCTAATGCTCCACCCCTCATGGGTGGCTAACCCTCCACCCATAATGGGTGCCTATCCCTCCACCCCTCATGGGTGGCTAACCCTCCACCCTTCATGGGTGGCTAACCCTCCACCCCTCTTGGGTGGCTAACCCTCCACCCCTCATGGGTGGTTAACCCTCCACCCCTCATAGATGGCTAACTCTCCATCCCCTCATGGGTGGCTAACCCTTCACCCCTCATGGGTGGCTAACCCTCCACCCCTTGTGGGTGGCTAACCCTCCAACCCTCATGAGTGGCTAACCCTCCACTCCTCATGGGTGGCTAACCCTCCACCCCTCATGGGTGGCTAACCCTCCACACCTCATGGGTGGCTAACTCTCCACCCCTCATGGGTGGCTAACCCTCCACACCTCATGGGTGGCTAACTCTCCACCCCTCATGGGTGGCTAACCCTCCATCCCTCATGGGTAGCTAACCCTCCAACCCTCATGGGTGGCTAACCCTCCACCCCTCATGGGTGGCTAACCCTCCACCCCTCATGGGTGGCTAACCCTCCACTCCTCATGGATGGCTAACCCTCCACCCCTCATGGGTGGCTTATTCTTCCCCCCTCATGGGTGGCTAACCCTCCACCCCTCATGGGTGGCTAACCCTCGACCCCTCTTGGGTGGCTAACCCTCCACCCCTCATGGGTGGCTAACCCTCCACCCCTCATGGGTGGCTAACCCTCCACCCCTCATGGGTGGCTAACCCTCCATCCATCCCGGGTTAAAAATCCCAATAAAATATTATTAGTAAGTTTTAAATTATTCTTTAAGGGGGTGTGGGTGGGAGGTGTTTTATGCCAGTGAAGGGCACTTGGTCCAGGGATTGGAGATGCCTTCTCCCTTCTTGGATCAAAACTAATTGCTTCCCATGCAGTTCTGTATATCCCTTTTGGGTTTAGCACTTGTAATAATGTTGGTCGAATTACCATTGAAGACAAAATACAGTGTCACATTATTTGCATAGTTTACTTAATAGCACTTGAAAATAATAATAATAATAATAATAATAATAATAATAGTAATAGTAATACTAATAATAATAATTGTAATGATTACCTCTCATTTCCCAGATTCTCTTTGTGTAAGGTAATTAGCACCCAGGTACCTATTTAAGAACTTTGAACATGAAAAAGGAGTGCTTGAGACCTGCTGGCTCCTGTTTGGCAAATCCAGGTCACATCTACTCCCTTCAAACCTATTTTTAAAGCCTCTTTAAGTTCTCTCTTAAATGATGCTACCCACAATTATGTTCCACACTTTCCACGTTGACCCAGGTGATTTAACCTTTAGTTTTGATAATAACAGTAATAATCCACTCATTCACAACTCTCTTGCCATACTGGTGCTTACCTGTTACCTTTCTAAATCCATTGTTGCAAGTCCTGTCATGGTCAGATATTTTCAGCTTGTTATTTATATCACTTTTTATATCCCTGTATGCTTTTCAGTGCATTTAGGTTCATTTTATGATATTAAGTCCAGAAGTGAGCATCATAATCTAAATGAGGCCTTACCAAGGATATAAGAGTTGAAATATAACAAGTCCTATTATTTATTCTTCCTGGTATATAGCCAAGACTACTTTGAGCTTTATTATAGACTTAAGTACTGTTGTCCTGGTTTTGGATTACTGCTGACCAGAACACCTAAGTCTTGTGTTTTTAATTTGATTTAGAGAGCTAGTTTATAAGTTTCATGTTTATTATATTTTACCTCGACGAAAGCCTTTCATTTGCTCACTCAGAACTCCAGTTGCCACTTTTCTGTCCACTGCATCAGCTTACTTGGATCATCCTGTAGTGTTTTAGTGTCTTCAATGGAACTTATTTGAATGCCTATTTTAGTGTCATCAGCAAACTTGGTTATGTTGCTATTTATTCTCTCATGTCATTTATACATATTGTGACCAACAAAGGCTTAGTAAATTGGCAAGTCGAGAATGCCTCTTTGAAAAACCATGCTGAAACTCATTGAGCAATTTATATCTTTCACAGTGGCTTTGAATTGCCTCTACATGTGTTTCTAGCCACAACTTGTTGGGATTATATTCCAGGTTTTCACTAAATTTTCCCACAATTGAAGCTAGGCTGATTTGACTATAATTAAATGCTGAGGAATACAAACAACACGAGCCTAGCAAACTAGGCTTCCTTTATGTTGCGAGGACATACAAGAGTGTGGTTGCCTCAGAGTTAATTTCATTAAGATAAGATTTCGTTTGGATTTTTAACCCCGGAGGGTTAGCCACCCAGGATAACCCAAGAAAGTCAGTGCGTCATCGAGGATTGTCTAACTTATTTCCATTGGGGTCCTCAATCTTGTCCCCCAGGATGCGACCAACACCAGTCGACTAACACCCAGGTACCTACTTGCTGCTAGGTGAACAGGACAACAGGTGTAAGGAAACGTGTCAAAATGTTTCCACCCACCGGGAATCGAACCCAGGCCCTCCGTGTGTGAAGCGAGAGCTTTATCCACCAGGCCACCGGTGTGCTAGCCTCCACAAGCAGTATACATATTATTGTAATCACTAACAAGTGGTATTTACTCAATAGCAACACTGCAGCTAGCCAGGGGATTGAACTCATGTTGTTTTAGCCTGCCTTGTATGAAGAGTCAAATTTTTTGACGCTCTAAACCACTGGACTAAGCTCATGTTGTTTGCAAGATTGTATGGTCCAGTGGTTTAGAGCGTTATGAGTTTGGCTTGCTTCCCACAAGGCAGGCTTAAGCAACACGGGTTTGATCCCGCGGCTAGCCACAGTATTGTTATTAACCCTTTCAGGGTTTCAGCTGTACTAGTACGGCTTACGCTCCAGGGTTTTTGACGTACTAGTACGCCTAAATTCTAGCGCTCTCAAATCTAGTGAGAGAAAGCTGGTAGGCCTACATATGGAAGAATGGGTCTATGTGGTAAGTGTGCACAGTGTAAAAAAAATCCTGCAGCACACAATGCGTAATGAGAAAAGAAAAACTTTGACCGTATTTTTGGATTAAAACAGCGACTTTGCACTGTATTTTCGTATGGTATTTATTGTTGTATTCTAGTTTTCCTGGTCTCATTCTATAGAATGGAAGACATATTACAGAAATTAAGATGATTTTGACTGATTTTACAAAGAAAAGTACCTTGAAATTGAGCTCAAAGTAGCAGAAATGTTCGATTTTTACCAAAGTTCAAAAGTAAACAAATCATGCTAAGCGTCCAATACACGTCAACTGGTGAGTCTAATATTCTTTCACAAGTGCACCGATATTATTTATACCATTTTTTACACTAATGCAGTAGTCTGCATAACAGTAAATCTTCTATTTTTTGTAATAATAAAAATTCAAAGTGGAAAGCAAAAGAATGTAAGAGGGGCGTTGGGACATGACTAATGAACAGAGGAAATGTCATTTTAGTGCCAGGAATGCCTTTCTTGTTTGTTCTAGATCCTATTTGGAAATTGGCATCTTTTGAAATTTGTGTGAAATTGACAAAATTGCTAAATTCTGACCACTGTATTGGATAGTTGAAATCGGTAAATGGGTGGTTTCTTGCACTCATTTGATAGAAAAATGGAGTTCTAGCGAAATATTCATGATTTTTGTCGACTAGAGTACAATGGAATTGGCCTAAAATAGGGCTCAAAGTGGGCAAAATCACCGATGCGTAAACATCGTCGAGACCGCTAACTTCGCGAGAGCATAATTTCGTAAGTTTTCCATCAAATTTCATACTTTTGGTGTTATTATGATCGGAAAAAAGATTCTCTATCTTTTCATAAGAAAAAATATTTTTTTTTTTTTTTTGAAATTTGGGCGACCCTGAGAATGAGTTTCTGAGAGGGCCTGTTGATCCTGAAAGGGTTAATTAAATACCATTTGTTACTGGTTAGAATGTGTACAGCTAGTGGAGGCTAGTACACCAAACAGGGAGCAGAATGAAATTAGCTCTGAGGCAACCACACCATCATATGTCCTCGCAACATTAAGCAAGCCTAGTTCGTTAGGCTCATGTTGTTTGTATGATTGCATGGTCCAGATATCAAATTTGCCATTTTTATTTATCTGGTATAATATCTGTTTCTAGTGATCTACTGAAAAGACTAGCTAATGGTTGGCTTAGTTCTTTACATTCCTTTTGAACCCTTGAAAATTGAAATATTGTTTAGTTTTAATCTATTTGTCATAGATCCACATCACTAGCGACAGTGAAAATGGGCAGTACATGCAAAGTGACTAACACTCAAGTACCTATTCACTGATAGGTTAATAAAAGGAAGTGGGTATTAGGTGACTAATACTTAGGTGCCTATTTAGCGCTAGGTGAACAGTGGCACCGGATGTAAGGGAAAAACACTTGCGTATCTATTTTCTGTTAACTTTTTCACTGTTGAGACCTCTGATCACAAACCTGCTCTCAGTGTTGAAAAATATTAGAAAAAAAATATTTTTTCTTACCAATATCTTAAGATTATTTTTCTGATTGTTTTAAAAGAAAAAAAGTTGCGATCAGTACTTACCAAGATATAGAGGAGTGAAGTTGATGGAAAGTGAGCCGCTTACGACAACATCGGCAACTGCCGCTCACTCGGTAAGTATTTAAAACCATTTGTCTCCATTCACTCCTATCAAATATGCTCACTCACACTTGCTGGAAGTCCATGCCCCTTGCACACAAAACCTTTATCCCCTCCTTCCAACCCTTCCTAGGCTGACCCCTACCCCTCCTTCCCTCCACTACAGATTTATTCACTCGAAGTCATTCTGTTTTGTTCCATTCTCTCTACATGTCCAAACCACCTCAACAACCCCTCCTCAGCCCTCTGGATAATAGTTTTGGTAATCCCTAATTTCCAAACTACGAATTCTCTGCATTATATTCACACCACACATTACACTCAGACATGACATCTCCACTGCCTCCAGCCTTCTCCTCATTGCAATATTCATCACCCATGCTTCACACCCATACAAGAGTGTTGGTACAACTATACTCTCATACATTCCCCTCTTTGCTTCCACGGACAAAGTTCTTTGTCTCCACAGACTCCTAAGTGCACCGCTCACCCTTTTTCCCTCATCAGTTCTATGATTCACCTCATCCTTCATAGACTCATCTGCTGACATTTCCACTCCTAAATATCTGAATATATTATATATACTTTTATTTAACTTTTTCCTTTTAGTTTCTAATATTTTATTTTTTCATGTAACGTTTATGGCTTGTGAGACCAATATAATGCATAATGTATAGATATCCACTCATTGTATGCAACACAATAACTGCACAAGCATTGTTATCATTATATTGTTTACAAAATCTGTTTATACAAACCCACCCTGCCTTTCCCACCCACACCATCATCCCCACCACACACACTGCCTTCCCTACCCACACCGTCATCCCCACCACACACGCTGCCTTCCCCACCACCCATTCTGGAAAGAAGTCACTTGGACTTTTTTGGGTTATCCTAGGTTCTCTACACATATGTTGCTATGTATGATAATCTATGTAACTGTATTTGTGTATACCTAGATAAACTTCCTTGCACATTGTCTTCCCAACCACCCACACCATCTTCCCCACCACCCAAGCTGCATTCCCCACCACCCAAGCTTCCTTCTCCACCACCCAAACTGCCTTCCCTTTTCACTGTTTGTATCTGGTATCCTGGGCATTGCTTTCGGTCACAAATTCCTCAGAACCATGAAATTCATCTTCACTGACACTTCCATCTGTGTTACAACTACCACTTGGGAAAAGAGCCCCAGTTCGCTGGGGAGTGAGATATTTTTTAACGTGAGGCATGGTAAACTAGGACTACTGAAATGGCATTCACACAATTCAATTTGGTTGCCCCAATTTGTTTTATACTTTACACAGTGACCACGCAGACCTATTCTCTCACATGCAGGCCTATCAGCTTTCTCCCATTACATTTGAAGCTGCTAGAATTTTGGCATAGTACTACAGCACCAACTCTGGCTTGTAAACCATAGTACTACGGCACCAACAGTGAACGGGTTAATTGAACAAGGGCAACAGGTGTAAGGTGATTTAACCCAATTCAGGTATCAATTTACTGCTAGGCAAACAGGGGCAGCAGGTGTTATCCGATTAACACCCATGTCAGTAAGTTATTATTGAAGTTTCATTTATAAATTTAATTTTTTGTAAAGGTCTTATACTGAATGTATGTAACTTATGTAGAAACTAAGATAACCCTGAATAACCTAAGATATCAAAATAAAGTCAAATACTGTTCCTTATCTCACTTGTGATTTCTCACATTATCAAGAAATAGTAAAAGTAATAGGATAACAGAAGAGTTTTAAGGCTGAGATTTCACCTCACATATGACCTCACACAAGACCCAACATGCTAAGCCTGGTCAGGTCACTTATCAAGTAAAATTTATGAGTGACATGTCAGGTATAGTTTAAATTCATTACAAATTTTATTAATTATAAAGGAATCTAATTTCTATAACCCTGAATGAATATTCACATTGAAATTAGTACAGTAGTACCCCGAGTTTCGGCCATAATTCATTCCAGAAGGCTGTTCAAGTGCCATTACTGAACGAATTTGTTCCAATAAAGAATAATATAAATTAGATTAGTCCATTTCAGACCCCCAAAAATACACTTACAAAAACACTTACATAATTGTTCGAGTTGGGAGCCATATGAAATTCGGGGTACCACTGTGCTATTTTTTTCATGAAACTTGATTTAACCCTTTCAGGGTCCGTCCCGTAGATCTACGGCTTTACGTTCAGGGTCCAAACCGTAGATCTACGCCATGAGCTCAGCTCACTCTGATAAACTGTGAGTGGTACATTTGGGCCTAGATATGAGAGAATACATCTATGTGGTATGTGTGCACCACATAAAACAGATCCTGCAGCACACTGTGCATAATGAGAGAAAAAAAATGAAATCATGATTTTTCGATTAAAACAGCAACTTTGCAGTGTTTTTTCGTATGTTTTTTATAGTTGTATTTGCGATTTCTTGGTCTCATTTGATAGAATGGAAGACATATTACAGAAATAGAGATGATTTTGATTGGTTTTAGCATTGGAAATGGCTTGAAACTGACCTCAAAGTAGCGGAAATGTTAAATTTTTGCCGATATTCAAGAGTAAACAAACGACCTCACACGTCTAATACACGCCAGCTGGTGGGTCTAATATACATTCACAAATATGGTGATGATATTTATACAATTATTACAGTATTGCATAACAGTAAATCTTCTATTTTTTGGTGTGAATAAAAATTCATTATGTGAATAAAAAATCAAAATGGAATTTATTTGTAAAGCCTCAAAACATAACTAATGAACAGAGGAAATGTTAGTTTAGTGCCAGGAATGCCTACATTGTTCATTCTGGACCCTATTTTGAAATTGGAATATTTTGAACTTTGTGTTAAATTGGCCAAATTAACAATTTCCGATCACTTTATTTTGTAGTTGAAACAGTTGACTTGGCGATTTCTTGTGCTCAATCGATAGAATAGAAGTAATACTAGTGAAATAGCTAAGAATTTGGTTGATTGGAATAATGTAATTGGCCTAAAATGGGAGTCAAAGTCGGCAAAATCGCCGATTCTTAAATACCGCTGACACATCAAAATTCGCGAGAGCATAATTTCGTCAATTTTCCACCAATTTTCGTACTTTTTGTTTTATTACCTTCACAAAAAGATTCTCTACGATTTCATAAGAAAAAATAACAATTTTTTTTTTTGAAATATCTTGGACACTGGTGCGTGACTCCAGATTTGGGCCTTGGACCCTGAAAGGGTTAATTATGTTTTGCTCAACCATGGACTTGCTTGATACAACTTTCTTGACCAAAAATGATGACTGTCTATAAGATCCCTTGTAAAAAATACAATAAAGTTTATTATGGTTTAACTGGAAAAAAATTTGAACTAAGATGACAGTGTGTTACGAAATGTGATATCTCTTAGTGAATTGATACAGTGAACCCTCAGTTAACGACACCATCAGATAACGTAAAAATCGGATAATGACACGTTTTTGCGTCCAGATATTGGCTCAGTTAACAACAAAGAACTCTGTTAAAGGCATTTGTCCCAAACATGTCCAAGCGGCCTGAGCGGCCCGGCCACTCCATGTACAGGAAGTGTGCCATTGTTTACAAGTCAGTGAGGACGATTCCACGCATACACGCGATACATTTTGTATTATTCCATTGTTTTTAGTGCTTGTAACTGCTAAATAAGCATCCATGGGCCCAAAGAAAGCTAGTGCCAGCCCTGTGGTAAAGAGGGTGAGAAACACTATTGAATTGAAGAAAGAGATCATCGCAAAATATGAAAGTGGAGTGCGTGTCTCTGAACTGGCCAGGTTGTATAACAAACCCCATACAACCATCGCTACTATTTTGGCCAACAAAAAGGCAATCAAGGAAGCTGTTGTTGCGAAAGGTGCAAATGTGCTTACAAAATAGAAATCGCAAATACTTGAAGATGTGGAGAGACTGTTGTTGATGTGGATCAACAAGAAACAATTATCAGGAGATAGTGTTTCACAGTCAGTTATATGTGAAATGGCAAGGCAGTTGCATGATGATCTAATTAAGAAAATGCCTGGAACTAGTGCTGATATTGGTGAGTTTAAGGCCAACAAAGATTGGTTTGAGAGATTTAAGAATCATAGTGGCATACACAGTGTGATAAGGCATGGTGAGGCTGCCAGTTCTGACAAAAAAGCGGTTGAAAAATACTATGTGCAGGACTTTAAGGGGTACATAGAGGTTGAACAATTAAATCCCCAACAAGTGTTTAATTGTGATGAATCAGGCCTGTTTTTTAAGAAAATGCCAAACAGGACCTACATTACTCAGAAGGAAAAGGCACTCCCAGGTCATAAGCCTATGAAAGACAGGCTAACTCTCATGTTTTGTAGTAATGCTAGTGGGGATTGCAAAGTGAAGCCTTTACTCGTGTATCACTCTGAAACTCCCAGAGTGTTCAAGAAAAACAGTGTTGTCAAGCCTAAATTGTGTGTGATGTGGAGAGCAAACAGTAAGGCATTGGTCACTAGAGACATTTTCCTCGATTGGTTCTATCACGTGTTTGGCCAAGTGTGAAAAAATACCTCCTTTAAAATAAATTGCCACTCAAGTGCCTCCTGTTAATGGACAATGCTCCTGCTCATCCTCAAGACTTGGAAGAGCGAATTGTGGGGGAGTTTAGTTTTATCAAAGTTAAGTTTTTGCCTCCTAACACCACTCCTCACCTCCAGCCCATGGACCAGCAGGTCATTTCAAATGTCAAAAAAATGTACACCAAAGTAGTGTTTCAAAAGTGATTTGAAGTGACCTCAGACACTGAATTGACCCTAAGAGAGTTCTGGAAAGATTACTTCAGTATCCTCAGTTGCATAAACCTTATAGGTAAGGCTTGGGAGAGAGTGACTTTCAGGACCTTGAACTCTGCTTGGAGAAAATTGTGGCCACTATGTGTACGAGAGGGATTTTGAAGGGTTTGGGGCTAACCCTGAGAAGCCTATGCCAGTTGTGGAATCTAAGAACATAAGAATGTAGGAAC